AATATATGTTCCTCAGTTATATTCACTTTTTGATTATTCAAATTAAAGAAAATAAATCTATTTCTGCTACAATTTCTGCTACAATAAGTTATAATTCTATTAATATGGCTGTATATCATAGGCACAGATTTGTATATATACAAAGCAGGATGAAATTTTTAAAAGTTTAATAGGAATTTTAAAAACTCTTTTGGTACTTAATATTTGATGTATCTGGTAATGATTGACAGGTGAAGAGTTTAAAATGACCTGTATCTCTTCATTGTTTTAATTTTATCTAGTTTTATTGATTTATCCATTAAAGTTTTCTTCTTCAATGCAACCATTTCTGAAAAATAAATCCATAATATGCCATAAAACCACAGGTTCAAAGCATGAAGTATAATATAGAGGGCTTAAATACGAAAATTCTCATCTATAAAAAACCTTGTTGAAATTGTCTCCCATTTAAGATTTTCCCAAATGACACACTAATTTCCAAAGAGACACAAAGAGCAGAACCCCATTTCAAGTCCCACCACAAGATGTCTTTAGGGCCATTAAGCACAACTGTTTTGCCTGGATGGACTAGAATGCTATTTTGTTTCCTCCGAATTTTGAGCATTACTGGTTGCTTGAATCTCACATAACTAAGGACATGTATATTATAAAGGAAAAGGAATCAAATATAAAATTCCTATTCCTTTTACTAATTCTCATATATGTTAACATGCCAATGTGACAACTAGTTAATATACTTCTCTTTCAAAGTTAATTACAAATAACCAGCCCACAAAATTATATTTTAGTGGAAGATACAGATAATGTAACCTGAATCAGGCTCTCACTAATTAGATTTTCTTCTGAGAGATAGAAAATAAAAAAGAATCATTGATATCAGAGTTTGGGACCTCATAACTGACATTATCTAAAGAAAATTTTAAGGCACCTAAACTCCAATAAATGATATGAAAACATCAGCATCAACTAAATCTTTGGTAAAAAAAAATTTTTAAATGAAGTATATCATATCTACATAAAAGTGCTCAATGAATTATCATGAAGTAAGGGTATTCATATCATCAGAAACTACATCAAGAAAAATTATATTTACATATATATCCAGAGACTTCTTCCAGTAATCAACTCTTTTTTTCCAAGATAATTAACTACTCTCCAGACTTATAACCCATTTATTAGTAGGACCTAATTTTTCAATTTATGTATGTGGAATTATATGGTCAGAATTTGCTGCATAATTTGAGATACTCAGTCCAAAATGAAAAGCTGGGGTGCTTGCTCAAAATGCATTAAGAACTTCAAGATGGTGACAGTAAAACATTAAGCCAAGTGGCGGCCCTGTGCAACTACAGAGGTTGCATACTCACAAAGCCAACTCTGTTTACAACACATATTTTTATACTTGTGTAGTTTTTCCCTCTCATTTAATTCTGAAATTCATCAACGCTGTTCTAAATTGTGTGCTCTTATTTCTTCATTGGTATTATAGCATAGTTTGCCATTATGTGAAAATAATTTATCTATCATCTCTATGAAAATTTGTGTTGTTTCCAATTATGAGTACACTGATATTGTCAATAATTAAAAATTTAGAGGTCCCTGGGTGGTGCAGTCGATTAAGCACCCAACTCTTGGTGTAAGTTCAGGTCATGATCTCAGGGCCATGAGGTCACGACCCACATTGTGTTCCAAGTTCAGCAAGGAGGCTGCTATAATTTCTCTTTCCCTCTCCCTCCACCCCTCCCTGAGCTTGCTCTGTGTCAAATAAATAAATCCTTAAAAATAAATAAATTAACATTTCCTTTAAAAATAATTAAACATTTAAACAATTTTAAAACTGTTAAGATAATTAAACAAAGAAGCCATTAGATTAAGGTCCCTCTAATTTCTTAGCAACCTAAGTAAGGAAACCCAAATCTAAGCATTTAAATATGTCAAGGTTAAGAAATCAAACTTAAGGACAACCAATCACAAACAGCCCAACTAGGTTTTCCCATAAAAGGAAACTCCTTAAGCTATAGTCAATGAAATACATCCCTTTTTGCTTCCACATCTTGTCTGTAAACATTATTCCCCTATTGCCTAAGGGTGGAGTGCTCCTAACCACTTCCAGTTTGGTGCTTCCCAATTCAAATCTATGTTTGGCCAAGTAAACTAAAAAATTCTAATATTCCTCAAATTATCTTTATCAATAGTCTTGTGCATATATTTTGGTGGATATTTGCACCTATTTCCATTGGGCTTTTACTGAAGAGTGGAATTTCTGTATATAGTGAATCTGTAAATCATATCTACTAAAATTGTATTTAGTAGATATTGCCAAACAAATTTCCATGGTTTTGGAATGAGTTCAAACTCTCATTATTCCTAACTTGGCAGTTGACTTGATAATGAATTACTTAACTTCATCTTGCCTTCCCTGCAAATGTTAAATTAATCATATGATTTTTAAAATTTATTTTATTAATGTTAAAATATCATCCTGTATATAAATCTTACACTAAACTTGCACTCCTGCAATTAACTCTGATTGGTTATGATGTATTACCCTTTTTACATAACACTGTACTTATTTAGCTAAAATATTGCTTAGGATTTTTGAATCTATGTTTATGGATAAAACTGACTAATAAGCCAACTTTCTTGTAACTTCCTTTCCAGGTTTTATAGTAATGTTATTATGTACTCATAAAAAACATTGTATGATTCTCTTCAAAAGTATCAAGTAAAATATCAAGTAAATATTGTAATGCAAAAAAAGAATATTGTAATGCTTGGTATTTATTTTGCTTTGTTAAATTAACAATTGAAACCTTCTGGATCTAGATTTTTATTTTTGAGAAAACTTTTGATACAAATTCAATTTCTCTACCAGATATTAGATTACATGGATTCTTAAAAAATATTTTATTTATTCATGAGAGACACACACACACAGAGAGAGAGAGAGAGAGGTGAGATACAGGCAGAGAGAGAAGGAGGCTCCATGCAGGGAGCCGACATGGGACTTGATCCTGGGTCTCTAGGATCACACCCTAGGCTGATCACACGCTGGGCTGATCACACCCTGCAGGCACTAAACCATTGAGCCATGCAGGCTGCCCAATTACATGGATTTTTAATTTCTCTTTTAGTTAGTCACAATAGATGTGTTTTTCTAAATTTGACACATATGCTCCAAATTTTGGTCTTTCTTTTCCAGACACTTTCCAGGAGTTTATCACTTTTTTAAGCTATTTCAAATAACTATGTTTCTGCTTTGTTGAGCCCATCTCAAGTAAATTTAATTTCAGTTTTATGAATTGATGCTCTTATTGCTACTATGTTTTCCCTTTTACTTTATGAAATTAATTAGTTCTACTTTCTCATTATGTTTTCCAGATATAAGATGTCATTAAATGTTATGTATTTTCAACATATGCATGTAAAACACAGCTCTACTTATAGCCCACAAGATTTGATTACCACTTATAATCATTCAATTACAAATATTTTGTAATTTCTATGAGTGTTCTTTGATCTATGAATTTCTAAACAACTGAGGATTTCAAGTTGACTTTATTCCCATGTAAGAAATACTCTGATATTCCTTGAAATTGTCGAGTCTTTATTTATGGTGCAGTGCTTAGTCAATTTTGATTAATTATTCACACACATTTGGACACCTTGTGTACTCTTTAAATGTTCGTTGAATGCTATTTCTCTACTTGTCAGGCTTGCTAATTTTGTCCTTCACATTTTCTATATTGTTAATGATTTCCTATATTTATTTGCTCCATGAAATTTGAAGAAAGCTATGTTTAAAAAAAAAGAGGATCCAGTTCTAGTTATCTCCTGAAGGATATAACATTTAATTATTAATTATAGGTTAAAATATGTTAAGAGAAATATTTAAAACAATTGGGAGAGACCTAAAAATAAGGGAAAAACTAGGGAGGATTTAATTTTTGAGTGATGGTAATTCACTGATTAATCCAACTTTTTATCACCTTTTCCCCTTTAGTCTACATAGTACACGGCACCTCAAAATACAGAAGATTACCTTATTGATATGATATATCAAATAACAAAATTCAGAGGTCCCAAAGCAGATATAAACTAAGAAAGTCCTGGAATATAAAGAGCTACAGAGGATTGTGCCTGACATCTGGATATAAACACCCCTCAAAACTATGAATGCCCCATGAATAGTGCTTGGTTTGGTAAGATTCACAGTATTCCAAAGGAAAGCAAGCGGTAGAAGGTTTAAAAAGCTGATACTTCTGCTGGCCACCAGGGCAGAAGAGAAAGAGTTTGGAGTTTGAATAGCACAAGTTAGAGAAGCAAAGTGCACATTCTGAGGTTTCATTTAAAAGCATTCCAAAAGGTCCATGCTTAGACGAGACTGTGTCCCAGAATTAAGGGACTCATTGAGAACAAAGAGCAAAACTGAAACAGACTTATCTGATGTATCTCCACACAAAAAGGATCAGTTCTTAATTTATCTGACTTCTGGAACAAAACTCAACACTGTTAAAAGACAGATAACAAAATTCAAAGTCTTTATAATGTATATTTGCTGATAAGCAAAATAAATAGAAAGTTTTTTAACACATAAAGACACAGGAAAATGACAGCCATTGTTCAAGATTAAAAAAAAAAAAAAAACAACCACACAAAACAAACCAAAAAACAAGCCCAGAGATGACTCAGATGATTCCAATATTGAAATTAACAGATAAAAATTTTATATTCCCTGTTGTAAATACAGTCAATAACATAAGTGAAACCAAGATTAAAATAATTGAATAGATTTAGAATCCTAGCATTGATATGGTTAAAAATAATTATGTTGAAATTCTAGAAGGGACTATTACAATGCTTGAAATGAAAAATTCATTAAATAGGCTTAATAGAAGATGAGAGAGGATGACAAAATGATCAGTGAAACTGTAGACAGATTAATAGATATCCGATTTGAATAATAGGGGAAATATTTTTTTTTGAGTAGTTTTGTTTTTGTGCTTACTTAGCAACACATATACTAAAACTAAAACAATGCAGAGATTAGTATGGCCCCTGCACAGGATGACACATAAATTTGTTCAGTGTTCTATATTTTGAAAGAAACAAAAAAACAAAGTTAGTTCTGTTTTGACATGTGAGGCAACATTAAGTGGTCCAATATGCAGGTAATAGAAACCAAGAAGTAACTTTTTGTAAACAGACTGACGATTTTTACTACAGAAATATAATGGACATTCCTTGCTTTAAAATTGTTTTTTAGGAAAACAAATCTGGTCTGTCTTCATTTCTTATTGAAAAAAATAAAAGCCAAAATAGTAAAATAAGAACAACAACAACAAAAACACTTGGCTTATGGAGTAAGTGAATTTGGAAGAATGGGAAGTAGTCATATAGATCTCTTTTTCGTGGGTTGCTTTTAACAAAGTATTGAACTGAGGAGAATCAAAATGTAAATGGCTTCCTTTGAGAATAGTATTTCTCTATACATCATGGTAATGATGTATATATACAAATATGTGTGTATATGTATGTTTATACATATATTTCTCCTTTGTAATCTCCATAGTAATACTCCTTGGGATTTTTAAAAGACCATTTTACTTCCAGTCATATAATATTACATGTAAATTGAAAGACTGGGCACAGTAAATATGAGTAGGAAATTTAATGGTTACATTTGGAGAGTTGTTAAAGTTTTGTTGGTATTTTTTTTCTTATTTGATTTAATTATGAAGGTTGGCATTTCCCATTTTATAAGTTAACATGGAGATTAAGAAATGTAATAACTAAGGTGAGCACATACTTTAGTATCTAAGCCAAGATAGTTTTTAGAGTAAAAGTAGGTGCTATTAACATATTCCTCAGAGTAACATACAAAAACTAAGACTATCCAAGAAAATTGGGATATATGGTCATCGTATTATAGTATTCATTCTATAACTAACATATTTTTGTCATCAATATAAAGTTCCTAAGTATTTTACACATCTATCACCATAATTCTAAAGATTTTAAACATTAAAATTTTCTTCATTAGATTCATAGTGAGTCTTTATATTCAGCTAGTATTTGCTTATAAATTTTCCTTTGGGGGCACCTGGGTGGCTCAGTGGTTGAGCATCTGCCTTTGGCTGAAGTCGTGATCCCGGGGTCTTGAGATCGAGTCCTACATCGGGCTCCCTGCATGGAGCCTCCTTCTCCCTCTGCTTATGTGTCTGCCTCTTTCTCTGTGTCTCTCATGAATAAATGAATAAAATCTTAAAAAAGAAAAGAAAGTTCTCTTCTTTAAAAAAATAATAAAATAAAATAAAATAAATTTTCTTTTGTTAGCCAATTAGATGTGTTATATCATATACACTGCCAATTAATATATACAGGTAGCACTGACTCTATACCAGGTGCTGTTTTAAGTGCTTTAGTTATATTAGTTAATTTAACCTTGTCAGCAATCCAGTGCTTAGTTATTATTACTAAGTCATTCTCCAGATGAGAAAACTAAGGTATTGGCTGACTGTTGCTCATGGTTCTACTGGACTATTCCATAATCTGAACCCAGGCTTTCCATTTGCCTAAAGATTGTGCCTCTTCTTTACCAGAACAATACCATCTATCTATCCATCAATGATACAGCAAGATCTCTGACATTTTATTCCTCTCTGAGACTCAATTTCATTTTTATTTGTTTTTAAATATTTTATTTATTTATTTGAGAGAGCGAGAGTGCACACCAACAGGAGGAAGGGCAGAGGGAGAGGGAGAAGCAGACTCTGGTGAGCAGGGAGTGCAACACAGGGCTCCATTCCAGGACCCTGGGATCATGACCTAAAGGTAGATGCTTAACTGAGTCACCCAGGAGCCCCTTTATTTATTTTCGAATATTTTATTTTTAAGAAATCTCTACTCCCAATTAGGGGCTCAAATCCACAACCTTGATATCAAGAGTCTCGTGTTCCACTAACTGAGTCAGCCAGGCACCTTTCAATTTTGTTTTTAGAAATAATAGACTAGGAGTTGGAGCCGCTGCTGCCACTCACCACCCAATGTGCACTCCCGATTCCTTTTGGTTCTAAGTCCAAAAGGCAACGATCAAGGATCAGCTGATTCAGAATCTTCTTAAGGAAGATCATATCCCCCGGAATAAGATTACAGTTGTTGGGGTTCGTGCTGTCAGCATGGCTTGTGCCACCAGTATTAATGAAGGACTTGGCAGGTGAACTCACTCTTGTTGATGTCATGAAAGACAAACTGAAGGGAGAGATGATGGATCTCCAGCACAGCAGCCTTTTCCTTAGAACACCAAAAATTGTCCCTGGCAAAGATAATAATGTGACTGCAAACTCCAGACTGGTTATTATCATGGCTGGGGCATGTCAGCAAGAAGGAGAAAGTTGTCTTAGTTTGGTCCAGCTTAAAGTGAACATCTTTACATTCATTATTCCTAATATTGTCAAATACAGCCCAAACTGCAAGTTGCTTATTGTTTCCAATCCAGTGGATAACTTGACCTAGGTGGCTTGGAAGATAAATGGCTGTTCCAAAAACCACGTTATTGGAAGTAGTTGCAATTTGGATTCAGCCCGGTTCCATTACCTAATGAGGGAAAGGCTGGGAGTTCACCCATTAAGCTGTCATGGGTGGGTCCTTGGAGACCATGGAGACTCCAGTATGCCTGTATGGAGTGGAGTAAATGTTGCTGGTGTCTCTCTGAAGAATGCACCCTGACTTAGGCACTGATGCAGATGAGGAACAGTGGAAAGAGTTTCACAAACAGGTGGTTGACAGTGCCTATGAGGTGATCAAACTGAAAGGCTACACTTCCTGGGCCATTGGACTGTCTGTGGCAGATTTGGCAGAAAGTATAATGAAGAATCTTGGCGGGTGCATCCAATTTCTACCATGATTAAGGGTCTCTACGGAATAAAAGATGTCCTCTTTAGTGTTCCTTGCATCTTGGGACAGAATGGAATCTTCGATGTTGTGAAGGTGACTCTAACTCCCGAGGAAGAGGCCCATTTGAATAAGAGTGCAGATACACTGTGGGGGATCCAAAAGGAGCTGCAGTTTTAAAATTTTCTAATGTTCCATGTCACTGTCTAGACTACAAGATTTTAGTTGGAGGTTGTGTATATTGTCCTTATTATCTGACCTGTCACTCAAGTAGTAATATTAAAATGGCCTAAGAAAAACATCAGTTTCCTAAAGTTACAAATGGGAATGGTTCACAAAACCCTGCAGTTATATCCTGATGCTGGATGATACCTGTCTTGTGTAGTCCTAAATTGGTTAATGTAATATAGTTTTACTATCTCAGAGGCACCACTGCCAATGTCACATATGCTGCAGTTACTCCTCAAACCAGTGTATTTACTGTGTTCTGTAACTTCTGATTCCTTCACCTCAATACCCAACATGCCTAGTCCATTTTTTTTCTTCAGTCACATCCTGGAATCCAATGTATAAATTCAATATTGCATGTATTGTGCATAACTCTTCTAAAGGATCTTATTTTGTGTACTATATATGTCAGAATATAGTGTACATTGCCATATAATGTAAAAAGACAATGCAACCAACTATCTGTCATACCAACTAAAATACCAAATAAATTTTGAACAGTGAAAAAAAAGAAATAATGGACCATTATACAAGTTTGCAATGCATGATCTAAGCAGAAACATAGTATTTCATTAGTCAAGAGGTATGTAATATATTTTAGTATACTGAAAGACAATTTAAGAAATGTATCAAAAGTATGCTTGCTTTGATTCTTGCCTTTGTCACTTATCAACTGTATATTTTGAAAAAAAAAACATTTCTATGTATTGATTTGTTTTTCTGTAAAATAGGAATATTCTATGTACATATTTCATTGTGTTGTCACATGGCTTTAATTACATAGTAAATGAGAATAATGGTTGATAAACACCATTATCAAATAATGGTTTATAAATCTTCAATACATGTTCACTATTAATACTAGAGAATATTTTTAAAGTTTAATTAAACTTTACAAATATTTGATTTTACAAATATTCAAACTGTGGTTATTAGATGTTAGATATTATGCTAGACCCCAGCTATTGACAGTGATTTATAAGATGTCATCCTTGTTTTAAAGGAAGTCATAGATTTAAATAATTTTAAGATGACACCAGGCATATACTGCCAAACCAGCTTTTCCATATTGTCATTCCAATTTGTGTTTCTTTTCCTTAAGTGAACAAGATTTTTTCGAATTTGAGACACTTAAAATTTTGGCACATACTATCTATCCATAAATGATATAGAGAAATTATAAGGCAAATGTGACAAAAAGTATTGGAACTGAGAAAGTTTTAATAGACTTTTTCATACATTCCTTGCAACTTTACTGATAAAAGTCAACAAATGTACAAGAAAAACAATAGCATACATATATATGTTGGGGTTAAAAAGATATGTATAAATAATATATATGACAAAAATAGCACAAAGTATGAAAGACGCAAAAAGAATTTAATGCTTCAATCTCTTCAGCAACCATTAAAAATAATATAAAGATACATAGCAAAAAAGCCAATAAAGAATTGATTGATTTGAAGACAGTAACAATAATAATACTGAATTAGGCAAAAAACGCATTTGTAAAGAAATAAAAAGTGGAATAGGTTAACAGAAATAGAGAATAAAGTGCAAGAGCTAAACCCAACTGTTTAAAAAAATGGATTAACTGTAAATGGACCTAAAACTTCCGATTTAAGGCAGAGACTGGGAGACTGGATACAAATACAGATGTAGGAACCAATGGTATGCTTTTATTATTTATTTATTTATTTGTTTATTTATTTTTTAACAATGGTATGCTTTCTAAAACAAATGCACATTAAATATTAAGGGAAAAAAAGAGGAGAGGATGAAAGAATTTTACACTGCAAAACATAATCATGTGAAAGCCGGTGTGGCTATTACCATTAAGGAAATTTAATAAGATATATTTCATTATCTTGAAAGGTTTAATTCATCATGAAGATTGCATGTGTGTGTATGTGTGTGTGTATGGATGACTTTCAAATATATGAAACAAAAACTAAGCAGAAAATTAAGATAAATCTGCAGT